AGTTTTTTTTTTTTGTTGGTGTGTTTTTTCCCCTGTTGGGGAGTATGTTTATCGTGTTATTCATCTGTGGGGAGTTTGTATATTCTCCTGTGGGGAGCTTTTTATTTTTCTGTTTCATTTTGTAGTGTGTGTTGTGGACTATAAGCTGCCTTGGGTAGTTCTCCTATTCCGACTAGTTAGTCAGTTGTAATTATGTGTTTTATGTCCTACATACCCTAGCAAACTAATTAAATAAGTGTTTAATAAATATAGAATATTTACACCTGTTACGAAAATTTTATACATGTTACGTTGTATTAAATTTTTTTAATCACTTCTTTTCAAAATCTATTGTTTTGAGATTTTTCAAATTAGCATTTTTTGTTAAAAAGTTAATCAAATAATTTTTTTTTCAAAGTTAATTTATGGATAATCATTGATATAGCCATACTTACGTAGAACAGACCATGTATTGATAACTCGACCGGGCCGTAATTTGAGTTATTTATGCGATTCAAGTGGGGCACGTCCACTTACGTGATGACGATCTGGAAGGTAAATCTAACCATAGAAAGGCTTGATACGGACAAGTAACTCAAGAATCTTAACTACGATATGGAGACAATGACTAGGAAGATGGCGATCTTAGGACGGTGGCTTCGCTCATCGTCACGAAGGACTCCAGTCGACCTCCCTCATCTAGGGGTCGACTTCAATCACCTCGCAACTTTATGAAGATGAGACCGCGATCGCGTATTTGAATAAATACGACCGACTCCGGGTTTAGTTTATTTATTTCACATTATTATTAGTACTTATTTAGTTTTATTTCCTTTGTTGGCTTTACTAATTATGGTAGGAAAATAAAGGTCTTGCAGTGTTTAGGCAAGATAAGGATTCTTATTTTATTTCCCTTTGGTATTTAAGCTGTATGGAACAAAATAAACTGCAGATTATTGATGAATTGAATTTTCTGATTGTTCGTTCTTGAGAGAGTATCTCATATTATCCCCAATTGTACTACGCTCTACATCAGTTGGTATCCAGAGACCAGCAGCGATCCACGATGCCGCCAAAGCGAAACGACAACATTGTTGAAGAACGATTCCAGAGGATGGAAGATCGAATTCAAGGGATGGATGAACGTTTCACCGACATCAACACCGGGATCGAGGAATTGCAGCAGGCTATGCGT